ATAGACAGAAATGGTAGCTATCTAGATTTTCTTTAACAACATGATGGGCTTTGAAGATACCCGACAGTCGTCTCTCTCCCGGATGCTTTTAAGTGGCTCTTGCCGGGGGTTGGACTAGATGACCCTCGGGTGTCCCTTCCCGCTCGACAATTCGGCGATCCTGACTCCAACATGGCTCGGTCCTACTTGCTTTTCCCAGCACCGGCTAGACCTGGCCTGCTTCCCAGCTGGCTCTCCCTGCCTTAGCAGCTGGTCTAGCTGGATCCGTCACTCCCCAACTTGCAAAGGTGTGGCGAGGTGATCCCTCGGGCGTATGTCGCGCAGCAGCAGATCCCCAAAAACAGAAAAGCTGGCTTCCTCTCCTCTCCCGCCTCCGCCCTGCCTCCTCATGTGCCAGCCGTATCGTCCGACTCTCCCAAGGAAATTGGCGAGGCCAACTCAGCCATGCCCGACCGCGGGAATTCTCCAGAATCGCTTTCCTTGCAACATCTTGGCAAATTTAATCCGTGGAACCACCTGCCACCAGAAGCTGTGAAGGCTCCAACACTGGAAGTTTTTAAGAAGGGACTGGACAGCCATTTGTCTGAAATGGTATATAGGGTTTCCTGCCTGAGCTGGGGGTTGGACTAGATGACCTCCAGGCTCCCTTCCGAGTCTGTTATTGTTATTCTTTTTTTTTCCTTCCTTCTTTCCTTCCTTCCTTCCTTCCTTCTTTCCTCCCTCCCTCCCTCCCTTCTCCAACACTGGAAGTCTTATAAGAAGAGACTGGCCAGCCATTTGTCTGAAATGGTATATAGGGTTTCCTGCCTGAGCTGGGGGTTGGACTAGATGATCTCCAGGGTCCCTTCTGAGTCTGTTATTGTTATTCTTTTTTTTCCTTCCTTCTTTCCTTCCTTCCTTCCTTCCTTCTTTCCTTCCTTCCTCCCTCCCTCCCTCCCTTCTCCAACACTGGAAGTCTTATAAGAAGAGACTGGCCAGCCATTTGTCTGAAATGGTATATAGGGTTTCCTGCCTGAGCAGAGGGTTGGACTAGATGACCTCCAAGGTCCCTTCCGAGTCTGTTATTATTATTAAATTTAAGGATTTCTTTTTTTTTTAAAGGGCACCCCAGCAGAAAAATCTGGACAGATACGCACGGACATGACTATAGATAGTCCTTGACTTACGCTCAATCGTTTTCCAGCGCGTTTCAACGGTGCTGGAAAAAAGCGAATTATGGACGTATTTCACACTTGGGACCATCACGTGATCAAAATTCGGGTGCTTGGCAGCCGACTCGTATTTATGACGGTTGCAGTGCGTCGTGCAATTCCCTTTTGCGACCTTCTGACCAGCAAAGTCAATGGGGGAAGCCTGATTCGCTTAATGATGGGGTCACTAACTGAACAGCCGCAGGGGTTGACTGAACAACTGGGACAAGACTGGTCATAAAATGGGGCAAAACCCGCTTAATGGCTGTTTCGCTTAATAACGAAAGTTTGGGCTCCAATTGTGGTCGTAAAGCGAGGACTCCCTGTGCCTTCTTTCCGAGGAGTTGCACCTGCTGGTTTTCAGCCTGCCCCGTGCCTTTCCAAGCACAGTGACTGCGCCCAAGGGAGAAAAAAAAATACAGTTTGTCTACATTTTGAAGGAAGATGGTTTGTATTCGCCCTGTCTTCTGGGCATGAAAGGGGCATGATTTAAACCAGGGTTTAATCTGAGATAGTTTGGCTGCAGGGCTGGTGTTCAGCTGCAGGACAAAGTCATGGGGCCCCTGAGCAAGTGCAGAGTATTTGTCTTCCGAAGGAGATTGCTGACATACGCGCAAAGGGAGCAATTTGTAGCCATGGTTAACATACAAATACACACACCCACAGCACCTTTGCATAGGCTGCACAATTATTTTGTCCCTGGCGTGCTTTTTAAAGCTCACAACTCGTGTTGTGACCAAGTTTGTTAAATGCGGGCCAGGCTAAAGAAGAGTGCCTCTGAGCGCTTACGAAGTATGGGGTCTTTTATACTGAGCATTAACAACGAGGCTGGCTGGGGCATTCTGGGAGTTGAAGTCCACGCATCTTAAAAGTTGTTGAGTGGACATATGCCATACAAGCACTTGATGTAGTAGTAGTAGTAGTAGTAGTAGTAGTAGTAGTAGTAGTAGTAGTAGTAGTAATAATGGTTGAAGAAAAAAAATGGCTTTGGAAGAATATCTGAAGAACAATGATGAAGATGCACTGAAATTAGTATATCAGGAAGGTTTACTGACTACTGGAGAGACCAAACTGGCCTACAAGAAAGACCAAATGAAGAACAGAATAGAGGCATGGGAAGACAAAGCACTATTATGGCCAGTACATTAAAAAAAAAAAATAGCTGGGAAAGCAGATAATAACAAGACCTGGCAATGGCTAAGAGCAAGAAAGTTGAAGAAAGAGACAGAGGGACTAATTCTGGCTGCATAAGACCCAGCCTTAAGGACAAAGACATACAAAGTCAAAATTGAGATGACAGCAACAGACAGTAAGTGCCGCCTCTGCAAAGAAACCGAAGAAACAGTGGACCACCTGGTAAACTGCTGCAAGAAGATCGCACAGACTGACTACAAGCAGCTGCACGACAAAGTAGCAACAACGGTGCATGGGAAGATCTGCAAGAAATATCATTTGCCTGCCAGCCAGAACTGGTGGGATCATAAAATAGAGAAAGTCATACAAAATGATAAAGTTAAACTGCTCTGGGACTTCAGAATTCAAACAGACAAGCTCCTGCAACATAACACCCTGGACTTAACAATTGTCGATAAGAAAGACCAAAAAAAAGTCTGGATAGTGGACGTGGCAGTGCCTGGAGACAGCAGAATAGACGAGAAAGTACTGGAGGAGATAACAAAATACAAAGACCTACAAATAGAAATAGAAAGACGGTGCCAAAGGCAAGGAAGGGTAGTACCAATAGTAATAGGCGTCTTGGGTGCAATCCCAAAACAACTGGAGCACCACTTGAACACCATTGGCATTGATAAATTCGCCATTAGTCAATTGCAAAAGGCAGCCTTCCTAGGAATTGCTTCCATCCTGCCACGAGATCTGTAATACCATCAAACATCCACATCTGCCTATCCCAGGTCCTTGGGAAGGACTTGATAGGTAGACAAAAATGCCAAATCCAATCTGAACATCTGGCTGACTGTGCGATAATCCTTCCTTCCTTCCTTCTCTCCCTCCCTCTCAGCCCTCTGATTGGATGGATCTCGGTATGCTAAGTGCCAATCTCCTGGGGCATTTGAGGTACAAGGCACCCCCCAAAATCTGGAACATGCCAGGATGAGAAAGAATCTCCTTGAAAAGTTATACAAAGATACACCCCAAAACCAGGGTAGAGGGATTGAATTACCATAGGAGAACGAAGGGCTGGATTACAGCGCCCATCAGTGGCAGGCTGAGGATGGGAATTGTAGTCCCAACACCCGGAGGAAAGAAAGTTGATTTCTGTCCTGGCAGACGTGTGTGTGTGTGTGTGTGTGTGTGTGTGTGTGTGTGTGTGTGTGTCCGATTTCTCAGAAAGAGCAGCATCCAGACTGAAAAAAACAATACGTTTCTAAAAGTAGAGGCGATTGGTGCAAATATGGGCCACGTGAAAAAAAAAACTAAGCTAAAACAATAAAGCAAAATAATAAAATAATAGCATAATAAAATCAAATAATAAAATCGAACGTTTTTTTTTTCTTATTTGTGTCGTGGCCTGGCTGGAATTCCCCTGCTGTTTTCAATTCTTTCCCAACTTAAGATAAGAGGGGAAAAGTCTCTTTGGCCTAATTTTTAATTTTCCTTTTCCTTCCATTGTTGAGCTGATTTAGCAATCCTTGCTGGGGGGGGGGGGTTGCTTATAACGAAAGTGAAAGTGGGGAATTTTGCTCCCTGGCGTTCAAAAGGGGTCTTTCCAGCTGGAGGAAGAAAACCTACGTCAGGCCAGTATCAGTCCTCTGCCTGAATAGAGCCTCCACATTCCAAGGCAGTCTACGCCATCGTCAGAGGACCTTGAACAGTCTCAGCTGGTGAAGAATTCTATCTGGCAGGCCTTTGTAGGAAGCCACGGGAACAGCTCCGGGCGGTTTAATTCAGGAGGAGAAAGTTTTAACAAAGTTTTAAAGCTTTTCAAAGCGTCAAAAGCTTTTAAAGCTTCAGAAACTTTTATTCTGTTTTTTTTTGAAAGTTCTAAAAGTTTCTTAAAAACGTTTTTCAAAGTTTTCAAAGTGTTTTCCAAGTTTTCAAAGTTTTTTTAAAAGTTTTTAAAAAGTCTTCAAAGTTTTCAAAAAGTTTTCCAAGCTTTAAAAAAAAGTTTTTCAAGCTTTCAAAAAGTTTTCCAAGCTTTCAAAAAGTTTTCAAAGTTTCTAAAAAGTTTTTTAAAAAGTTTCCAAAAAGTTTTAAAAGTTTTAAAAAAGTTTTCAAAGTTTCTAAAAAGTTTTTTTTTAAGTTTTTAAAAAGTTTCTTTAAAAGTTTTTTTAAAAAGTTTTCCAAGTTTGAAAAAAGTTCGAAAAGAAGTTGGAAAAGTTGGAAAAGACGTTTGCAAAGTTGGAAAAGAAAAACTTTGAAAAAGTTGGGAAATTTTTTTTTTTTCTTTTCTTGGGCTACGCCAAAACAAGTCCCGATTTGTGGATTAGGGGGGAATGGGTGACTATTTTTATTCTTCTTCATTAAGACCCCTCCCCATTATAGAAATATGGGGTGGAGGGTGTGAAATACTTGGGGATAAAAATACCAGTCATTGGTGCGGGGTCAGCTTGACCCCTTACACCCATGCCCCCTTTCCAACTATCCTTCCCTCCCCACACACACACACACACACACACATACACACACACTTCTCCTGTCTGCCAGGCCAGGGAGTTCATCCTGGCCCCCGGCTGACCCTCTGACTCAACTTCCCAGGCGCTCCCCTGTCCTTGCCTCCCCCCATACCTGGGAAGTTCCCCGCTCGGGGAGGGGCCGGCAGCCTGGGCCCTCCCCTCCCCGGATGCTTCTCATATTTGAGACACCAGCCGGCTCCACCCCAGACTTTGACATCAGTTGCGCATCCTTCTTCGGCTCCAGAGCGCGCCTGGGGCGAAGCGAGCCGGATCGGAGCTGAGCCGCCGAGTGCCAGGTGAGTGGGGGGCCCGGGGCGAGCGGGTGGAGGGCCCCCAGAGACGTGGGAAGCTGAAGAGGGTCTTTCCCTACTGGTGGGCAAGTTCAGGCAAGGAAAACCCCAGAGGAGGCGTCCTACATAGGCAGCTGGGAGGCTGAAGGGGGCGCGGGGAGGAGGCAGAAACAGGAGCATCGCTGCTGGGGAGATCAGAGACGGGAAGGAGAGAGTAAGTAGGTAGTAGGTAGGTAGGTAGGGTAAGGAAGGAGGGAAGAAAGGAAAGAGAAGGAAGGGAGGGAGGCAGATGGAAAAGGAGGAGGGAAGGAAGAAAGGAAGGTAGAGAAGGTAGATGGAAAAGGAGGGAGGCAAGGGAATGGAAGGAAAGGAAAGGAAAGGGGAGAGAAAGAAAGGGGGAGGGAGGGAGGAAGGTAGATGGAAAAGGAGGGAGGGAAGGAAGGAAGGAAGGTAGAGAAGGAGGGAAGGAGGGGAGGAGGGAGGTAGATGGAAAAGTGGGAAGGGGAGGAAGGAAGGAATGAATGAAGGAAGGAAGGAAGGAAGGAAGGAAGGAAGGAAGGAAGGAAGGAAGGAAGGTAGATGGAAAAGGAGGGAGGCAAGGCAAGGGAAGGGAAGGAAAGGAATGGAAAGGGGAGGGAAAGAAAGGGGGAGGGAGGAAAGGAAGGAAGGAAGGAAGAGAAGAGGGAGGGAAGGAAGGAAGAAGAAAGGAAAGAGGGAGAAAGGAAGGGGTAAATGGAAAAGAAGGAGGGAGGGAAGTAAAAGAGAAAGCTGGAAAGGAAAGGAAGGAGAATGAGAGGGAGAGAGGAAGGAAGGAAGGAAGGAAGGAAGGAAGGAAGGAAGGAAGGAAGGAAGGCCAGGCAGGTAGGCACGCCCTGGATTAGGGAGGGACTCCCAGGTGTCTCCAGATGTGCGCACAGGTACCCGGGGCCTTCTAGAGCCGGCAGTGGATGCCGGGCAGGTGTGGGGAGTTAGAAAGAACTTGAGAAGGAGTTGCGAAAAAGTTTGTGGTGGACAGGAACTCTGGAGCACACACACACACCCGCCACCCGAGGGAATGGGACGAAGGCAAGGAGAAGGAGCAGAGATATGGGGGGGGGAGGCAGAACCCCAAAAGGGGGTTCCTTTAATCCCACCCGTGGGTCAGGATGGGACAGAAAATTAGGAACCGTGCAGCTGTTGGAAGACACGCGCGTCGCCCGGCGGGACTCGCGCACGTGGGAATCCGGCGCTGCCAAACAGCGCACGCGAACTGCGGGGGCGGGTGGGGGAAGGGCAGGACTACAGAGCCCATCATCGGGAAGATGGGAGCGGTAGTGCGGATCGCTTGGACCCTTGGGGCTGGAAGGAGAGTCTCCCCCCCCCAGACTTGCAAAGGGGATCCTGCCTTCCTATGGTCGTCGGGACGGTACTTTGGGGGATCGAATCGCGGGCGGGGGGGGGAAACCGGCTCCTCTCGTTTCGAATCACAACAGCCCCGCGAGGTAGGCCGGGCTTTGCCAGAATCCGGGGAGCAGGGACTTAAAAACACGGCTGGGGCGCAGCTTTGGCTAGAAATCCGTCTTGTATTTGGTTACCTTGGAGAAAAATCGCGGTGAGCTAATTAGGTGTAAATCATAAAAGATACTCGTGTTGAACTGAATTAACTGAGAGGCGCCGGACTCGAACCCCGAACCCTTTTCGGGGACAAATCCGTGGGCTTTCCCGGTTCGCGCAAGACCCGACGTGCTGAGCTACCCACGAGTTGACACTTAAGTTAGCAGATCGTGAATGACCCGGTTGGACGGGTTTGTGGCTGAGCACCTGTTGCGGATCACTAAAGAGTTGTGGGTCAAAGAACAAGGATAGGGAATTTGGGGGGGAAGGGAGGTTGTCTTGCACGTCCTTTGGGGGGGGGTCCAGAGCGCATTTCATAAAGCTAATGGACAAGCCCAACGGAGCTTAGAACAGAATAACAGAGTTGGAAGGGACCTTGGAGGTCATCTAGTCCAACCCCCTGCTTAGGCAGGAAACCCTATACCGTTTCAGCCAAATGGCTGTCCAGTCTCTTCTTAAAAAGGAGGAGGGGGAGGAAGAGGAGAGTAGAGTTGGAAGGGACCTTGGAGGTCATCTAGTCCAACCCCCTGCTTAGGCAGGAAATCCTATACCATTTCAGACAAATGGCTGTCCAGTCTTTTCTTTAAAAGGAGGAGGAGGAGGAAGAGGAGAGGAGAGTTGGAAAGGACCTTGGAGGTCATCTAGTCCAACCCCTTGCTTAGGCAGGAAACCCTATACCCTTTCAGACAAATGGCCGTCCAATCTCTTCTTGCGCAACCAAATTGTTGCAGGAGGAGAGGTGTGATGGCCTATAATGGTCTTGTTTCCCAACCTGGGCGACTTTAAAAGAATGGGTGGATTATAATTCCCATAATTCCCCAGCCAGCGAGGGAATTGTAGTCCCTCCCCCCATCTTAAAGTGGGGAGCTTGGGAAATTGAAGTCCACCCATCTTAAAGCTGACCAGGTTGAAAAGCACTGATCTGTGCTGACACACACACACACACACACACACACACACAAAACACCCCCCCCCCAAAAAAACAGGAATTCCCTTTTGCGAGAAAGTTTCTGACCATTAATAACATGGTTTTGTCGGTAAAGGGATTTCCAAGTTCTCCGTGTTGTGTGAATGAAGTTACCAGCTTTTTGCCTTAGTTTATTTCTTTTCGGAGTGCAGGACATGAATTCAGTTTTTCATTCTTGGAAAAATTAATTCTGGTTTAAAGTTGGAGGAACTCCGGGCCGTGTGATAGCAAGACCCGTCCGTCTGTTGGACACGCTTTAATCAATCGCTCAGAATGGAGCTGGAAGGAACCCTGGAGGTCTTCTAGTCCAACCCCCTGCTCAAGCAGGAGACCCTATGCCATTTCAGACAGGTGGGTGTCCAGTCTCTTCTTACAAACTTCCAGTGATGGAGCACCCACAACTTCTGTGCAAACTGGTTCATTGGTCAAATCTGGAGGGTTGGATTAGATGACCTCAACACCCCCCAAGATGAAGGTTGTAGGAGTCTGGCGATTTGCAAGGGGGGAATTCAGCAGCAGAATGATCTTGTACAGACCAGGATCAATGATGACTTCAGAGCATCAAAGCCCTCAACGGATCTTCTGTTGCTCTGACCCAGGATAAAGAGATGTGTGAATCCGGTTTGAGACCAATTGGCACTGGGGGAAAAAGCCAAATAAAGTGCAAAATTGTTGCATGGAAACCAGCTGGATGGTTTTCTTTCTCTCTTTCTCTTCAAATTTGTCGGCACCAAAATGTTTGGGGGTTTTTTTGTGTGTGGTTTTTTTGAGTCGAACGTTTTGACTTGGCTGACTTGACTTTTATAACTGCACATTGGATGGTTTGGTGGCATCTGCCTTTTCGTGACACTGCTGATGACTGGATCCTCATTTAGCGACTGTTTACAGTCACGAGGTGGGGGGGATGAAAAAAGAAAGTTGCAGCTATTCCTCGCGTTTACGACCTTTGCAGGTCTGCAACACAGAGGAAAGCTGAAGGAAGATCATAAGCACAGCTTCACTTAGGGACCATTTTGTTTTATAACCAAGTGGGGTGGTCACTAAAAAAAGGACTGCCTGTAAAATGGGCACTTTTTAGTCATGGCTAAAAATGTCTAAACAGGTTACTCCCAGACTTAAAATCTTAATTTATTAGTCTACAGATATTGGAGGGGCGATGTGTCAGTTTTAAGGGCCCAGAGGGAGGCGATCCTTGTAGTGTGTGTGTGTGTGTGTGTGTGTTGTATAGGCTTGAAGAGTTTTAAATTGATTTTTCACTTTGCCATTCGGTTCACAATCAGAGCTGGATCTGTCAAGTTTGCAGTGAATCAGGGCTTTTGTCTAGGGTAGGGGTGGGGAACGATGACTCCTTTTATGACTTGTGGACTTCAACTCCCAGGATTCCATGCTGGCTCAGGAATTCTGGGAGTCCAAGTCCACCAGTCATAAAAAGGGGCCATCGTTCCCCACCTCTGGCTAGGACAGGGGTAGGCAACCTTGGCCCTTTTATGACTGGTGGACTTCAACTCCCAGAATTCCTGAGCCAGCCACACTGAGGGGAAAGGGAGAGGTTTCCAAGCTGAGCCAGGCTAGCTCAGGAATTCTGGGAGTCGAAGTCCCCGAGTCATGAAGGGGCCATAGTTCCCCCATACTGGTTGAGGAATTCTGGGAGTTGAAGTCCACAGGTCATGAGGGGCCATAGTTCCCTCACGCTGGCTCAGGAATTCTGGGAGTTGAAGTCCACAAGTCATCAAAGGGTCATAGTTCCCTCACCTTGGCTCTTTTATGACTCGTGGACTTCAACTCCCAGAATTCGTGAGCCAGCCACGCGGAGGGGAAAGGGAGAGGTTTCCAAGCTGAGCCATGCTGGCTGAAGAATTCTGGGAGTTGAAGTCCACAAGTTATGAGGGGGCCAAAGTGGCCTACCCCTGGTCTGGGACATCGGCTTCCAGAAACATCATTCCAAAAAGAAATGTACTTTGCCTACGCCCAGAGGAAGTCTTCCCTTCTTTCTTGCAGCAGCCTGTATTTTAAAACAGAGAGCTGGGTGTGAAATCCTTCTTGAATTGCAAAGTACTGAGAGGATCACTTGATAGGCTCAGATTTTTCTGCCTTTTTCAAAGGTGCCCAGATTGTACTTCCCAAAGTGCTAAAAAAAACCGAGCCTTGCTTAACCATGATTTGTTGAGTAAACCACAAATGGTAGTGTAGTACTCAGGCAAAGCCTCCAACCCTGGTTTGCAGGCCACAATTTTAAACAAAAAATAAATAAATAAAGAAAGAAAGAAAGAAAGAAAGAAAGGAAGGAAGGAAGGGAGGGAGGGAGGGAGGGAGGGAGAGAGAGAGAGAGGGAGGGAGGGAGGGAGAGAGAGAGAGAGAGAAAGAAAGAAAGAAAGAGAGAGATAAAGAGAGAAAGAAAGAAAGAAAGAAAGAAAGAGAAAGAAGGAAGGAAAGAAAGAAAGAAAGA